GAAAAGGTGACTGCCATGCAACAAACCATTGACAAATTGATAGACCAACTCAATGTTGTCAACGCTGCTTTACAGGGCCTACTCCGAGGAGGTGGAAACCAAATCGGAGGTGCTGTGAACTCCGCTTCCGCGATAAAGAAGCTGAAAATTCCTGAGCCAAAGCCATACAGTGGAGCTAGGAATGCCAAGGAAGTGAAAACTTCATCTTTGACGTCGAACAGTATTTCGATGTTGTTGGGGATTGGAGGAAGCTAAGAAGGTAGCAACTGCTGCCATGTATCTTTAGGGTGATGCTAAACTCTGGTGGCGTGTGAAGTACGAAGCCATCAAGGCCGGTAAAGATGCTCTCGAGACATGGGCCGAACTGAAGGCAGCTATACGCCTGCAGTTCTCCCCGAGAATGTTGAATATAATGCAAGGAGAAACTACGGGAGCTCTGCCAGACAAAATCAGTGCGGGACTACGTGCGAGAATCTCCGCACTCATGCTCAACATACGCGACATGGGGGATAAGGACAAACTCTTCACCTTCATGGAAGGGTTGAAACCTTATGCCGCGTGGAGCTACAGAGACAAAGGGTAGAATTCCCTTCCAAGGCAATCCAAGCAGCTGAATGCCTTGGGGACTATCAAATGGAAGCTCAAAGGGACAGGCCTCAGCGCCTGCCCGAGCAGGGTTCAAAGGGGGCCAGCCCAGCAGTGGTGGTCCTAGCAAAAATGGGGGAGATCGGAACTCAAACAAATCTAGAGCTCCTTCCTCCGGCAGCAACAGTGCTGCGTCAAACAACAATGATCGGGCGAGAAAGCCTCTCAGATGCCGTCATTGCGGCGGTCCACATTGAACAATGAGTGCCCACATGCACAGATGAATGCCCATCAGGCTATTGATGATGGGACTGATGACGACTCAGACGATGCGGACCAGACTGAACCAAGTAGGTGCCTTCAATGCAATTGTGGGTTCCATTTCTGAGGCACTAGGGAGACCAGTGCTGGTATTCGTAAGAAGAAGGACTCATGTCCCGTCACCAGGAAAGGGAAAAAGAAGGCGAATGAAGATACTCCTCTTAAACAAGAGAAGGACCTTAATGTTTCATCGAGATGAAGGTGAATGGCAAGCCCATTCGGGCTATGATAGACACGGGGTGCACCCACAACTACTTAGCCTCGACTCAGGTGGAGCGCCTTGGAGCGGTTGTAGTGGAAAGGTTAAAAGGTAGCGTCAAGGCTATCCACTCACCTCCAGCCAGGAGTGGGTGGAATAGCTAAAGACAAGAGTACCGGTGAATAGCTTGGGCTCTTTCGCAAGGAAAATTCAACCTAGCCGAGTGGTGTGATCATAGATGACTCGAGTTGATTGTTGGGGGCTGGATTCTAAGCAACCAACACCATCTGTTACATATGCAAGACATGCCTACTGATTGATTGCGGTACCAATAGGGCCAAGCCTGCATTAATCCCGTGCCTGCCCATGAAGATGGCCCGTTGAGACATCTCGGCCTTTGCAGGTTGGAAGAAAGGGGGTCAAAAAGGAATGAACTACGTCCTGGCAACCCTCTGCATTGCAAGATATAGAACGCTCATTCCTGAACCCGCTTGAAGGAGTTACTCAATGGAGTTCTGAAGATTGGTCATGCCACAAAGACAGTGCAAAGCGGCTCCCGCCTAGGCGGCACTGTGGACCATGAAAATTGAGTGGTGCCAGGGCGCGAAGCCACCTGCCCGGGCGCCTTACGAATGTACAACCCGAACTCAACCGAGCTTCGGAGACAATTGACGGAAATGCTAGATACAGGAGTCATTGTACCCTCCAAGTCCCCATATGGGTCCCTTGTTCACCTATTCCAAAAAGAAACATGATGGCAGCCTGCGACTCTGTGTGGATTTATCGAGCTCTAAACAAAATCACGCGTGAAACCAAGTACCGCTATTCCCTAAATGGCGACTTTGTTTGATAGATTGGGTTGGTGGCTACGGTGATTCTACAAGATAGATCTGAAAGACAGTTATTGGCAAGTTCGGTTACAGAGGGTGATGAACACAAGACGACTTGTTGACAAGATATGGGTCTACGACTTCCTAGTACATGCCATTCGGCTTCGACCAACGCCCTCTGGCTAGTTGCACTCTCATGAAAATTCCTCTTCCTTCTTTTTGCCTCTTGTGCCCCTGTGGGCCTAAATCCTCGGTGCGCTCCTGTTAGAGCCCCTCGAATTTCTCAAAGATTTCGGCTGCCTCTATGGCTGCCGTCTGCCGGTCTCCCTCGGAGTCGCGACTGATGTTTTCAACGTCAACTTCGACCTGAAGCACCCTGCGGTCCAGGTCGTCCAACCTTTGCAGTAGGCTGGTTCTTAGTTCAGGCACCGTATCCATAATAGGCCGCAATACCTCAACCGTCCCTTCGAGGGCCGCAATGCGGTCCCCATGATTCACCATGGTCAGAAATGGTGGTATGTCAATACGTTCCCTCGTCCGATGTCGAGCCTAGGCTCCGATACCAACTGTTACGCGGCGCCTTCCTGAGATTCCTTGGAAGGGCGACGTAAGGCTAGGCAACTGATGTCAGTGCAGTTGTTGTCCGCCAACTGAGGTCCCCTCCGTATGCTAGACGAGATTGTCAGTGTCGTACGGGAAAACCAATGTCAAGAGCAATTGAGAGAACAGAAGTGAGAATTCAGAATGAAAGAAAGCTTGATTGCATTAATGAAAGCTATTACAGAAAAGCAACGCGGTGTCGAGGGGGAGAGACACCAGTACAGAGAATTGCTTGCTTGCTAGAAAGTTTTGATTGCTTGATCCCCCCTAATAGTACTTAAAAAAAATAATCCAAAGTTACAAGACTAGACTTGACTAAGCTAGAGAAACATAACGGAAGTACATGAAATAAAACTACTCTATATTTACAATGAAAATGACTTAGTTTTCTATAAGGCAGCAGCAGGTCCGTTGTCAGCAGCAGTGTCTTTGGCATCACGGTCTGCGCGCGCGGCGCTGTTGGCTTCTGCCTGCGGCTTGGCGCTCGCGAGGGATATCGGTGGGGCGACAGAGGCACCTGCGCGCTTGTCACTTGGCGCGGCCAAGACCACGGGGCCGTCCGTGGTGCTAGGCATTGGGAGGTTCGCTAGGACGCCACGGGGCGCGCCCAAGGGGTCATGGGGCATGGCTGGAAAGCCGCCCATGACATTATACATGTTTATACAAGTTATACAGTATTGTATAATTGTGTATAAATGTGTATATTTGTGTATAATATTGTATAAATATATATTTTTTCAGTTTATAAGGATGTATATACATTGTTAGCGTGTAAGAGGTCTCTACAGAAGTTTGACACTTCCTCTTTTTCGTGTATGTGCTATATGAAACAGATTTGTAGGCGTTGGAGGAATTCTACAATTCATTTATCAATTTTTTATTTTTCATTTATCCTGTTGGATTGCTTCAGCAATTGCACATAAATGTGTTTGAATTTCTTACCTTCAGATAATATGTTGATTGTGTGAAATAAGCTGTTTTTTCGGGAATTAGCCTATTATTTTTGGGCTATAGATTTGCAATGTGATATCTAGGCTATTATAATGCAAATCAAGTGTGTGTGATGTACTTATGTGAAATTATCCCTAATTAAAAAGGAATGGAAGGATATTCCATGTTTCGAAAGAAATTAGGTAACTAAAAGGTGAGAAGATATAACAAATATTATTTTATATGCCTCTAAAAGTTTATACAAATAGCATGCTCAAAGACCAGCCAAAATGCAAGTGCAATTTGAATAAGAAAGCAAACAACAAATAAAAGAAATAACTAGGAATATTTGATGGAAGTAATACTAGGAATGCAAGTAATAACACCCCTTACGGATCCGTAAGCCTAAGGGCCGACAAATCGGGCTCAGACTCAACAACACGTGAGCCCGATACTAAGCCCGTAGGCGAGCTCATATCAGTGTTAAAGTTAAACAAGACTTTAACCTTGTCCATCAAATCTGAGCTCTGGGATATCAACTCAGTTGACCCGAGCTCAACAACACCATTAGCTGAAGGAATACAAAACATAGTCTGAAGCCCGTATCGTTGGGCCTGTCGGGCCCGTTCGCAGTTAGAAGCAGATAATCTCTCTGTTCCAGTAACCCAAATCGGGCTTGAATTATGCATTGCCAGGCCCGGAAGCCCGCTACCGTTAACAAAGGACTCGGACATTGAAATCAGAAAAAACCATTCAGTATCTGTTACTACTTCATCCACAACGTCATTTTCACCACCATTTTGTGTGCCGGAAATTAAAGAATTCACCTCCCGGAGAACTTTCTTCCGGTGTTCTTGCTCCGCGATAAAATACCGCGAAAACGACGTCGTTTTACACTCATTCTTGTCTTCTTCCCCGTTATAATACCCATTACCCCACCTCAACACCAAGGGGCTCGCAAAATCCACGACGTCCGATTGCCAGAATATGCCATACGTCCACGCTTCGCGAGCCCCATCGATTAATGTCTGGAGTCGTTGTTGCAGCGACTCGACGCTGAAAAACGCCATCGACTTTAATGGGTCTCCGGTAGTCCCCGTCACCGACACCAACGCCGGAGAAACTGAAGTCCGGGGAGTTGGTGTAGTACTGCTCCATATATTATTATTCATCGTTGGTAATCTATAGTCTGTCATTTCATAAAACAAAAGAAGAAGAAAAACTCCTAAATCAATTTAGGTCTGTTTGTTTAACAAAGTGGAAAAAATGGTAGATGTAGAGAGAGATAACGGGGAGGAAAGTTTGATAGTATAGAATTTAGAGTGAGTTTTTAGGTATATATATTCATAAAACCAACAAAAAAACACAAAAAATTGTGATANAATGCATGTATTTATCCCATTGTATATAGTAGTGTTTATCTGCAAAATAGTATATGGAGAAAAATAATGTAAATCCATTATCAAACTACAGCCGAAGATACATATGTGATGTTTTCCCATGAGAAATTTTTTTTTTAAGTCACGAAAAGGATCCACTTCGTCGAAAAATACGGTGCATATCAGAGGCGGATTCAAAATTTGAACTTTATAGGTTCGGTTGAACTCATAGCTTTTATTCTAGATACGCCCCTGGTGCATATAGGTTAAGTACTTTTATACGTGTATATATATATATATATATATATATATATATATATATATATATATATATATATTAAATCTTGAACCTATCTTGTATATAAAGATGCTATTTTACATAAACCCTCGAACAGATTGCAGCTTGACTCTAATTTGATTTTTCAATGCGCCAGGATTCAACCGGAGAACCGGAGTCAGGATTTGAAATTGCAGCTAATGAGTTCTGAACTTTTTCGCCAAGCTGTAATTAGTTTTAGTTATTTGCTTGGTTAATATTGACATCAAGATAATTAATTCGATCAAAATATAAGTGTTCAAAAGAACTTTTTATTTCAAGATGATTTGATCTCTACTCTCAAAGGTTTTCTTCTTTTATTTTTTTTTAAATTTTTTCAGTGCTCAATCATACGAAATGTTGACATTCAATCTGCAATAGGTAAAAGGTTACTTAATAAAAATACTCTGAATTTCCTTTGCACGCTACATTCCACATAGAAATCAATTGTTGTGAAACAGAGCAATGGGAAAATCAAAAAAACAAAATAAAATTCACTCGTCTTAATTGGATAAACATAATCCATACCCATACATCACAGTAGTACAAGAAACAGATATCTTAAGACCTTAACTAATAATATTAAGGCCCAAAATTTAAATAAAAATATAACTATAATACTCTACTTGTGTTCAAATAAAATTAATGCAAAAGAAACCCCATAAAAGATAAGAAGAGAGAAGAGCAAATCAAGGCAGTTGACAAAGTCAGCTGAAACCCAGCTCCGGCGTCCATTCCCGGTGCCGGTGCCGGAGCAAAATCGCCTTCTTGAGCTGTGATTTTGGTAGCTGCTAAATGAATCAGAGTGAAAATGGTGAACAGGGTAAGTTTCAAGATTCTTAATGTTGCCATTTTCCCCTGATTTATATTGATATAATAAACAGAGAAATTCAGAAGCAAGAAATAGAGTTTAGGAGTGAAAGAATGAGGAATTGAAGATGACGAAGTCTCTGCTTTTATAGCCGTTTTCTTGGGTTTTTTCAGTAACGTTCAAATTACGAGAGGGTGGAAAGTTCAAAGGTTTTCAGAAACAGTACAAACGTTCGAAATTCTGAAACGACGGACCTACTTGTGGACAAAATAAAAGATGTAGGACCCACTCATGATGTGGGCCCGTTTGGCTCGTTCTATCTGTTTTAGTATTTGTCATGAAACTTTCAATTTTTATTTGAAGTTGAATTTCGGATTTTTTTTTAAAAATTCTAAAGCTATTTTTCAAAATTTTTATTTAAAATCATTTAGAAAAATTCAAAAATAGTACCGAATTGTATTCATGTCTAAACACAACTCTAATTTTCAAACACTATATTCACTTATATTTTTTCCTACTTCTTTTCTGTAATTTTACAATTCTTATATCCAAACATCCACTTAAATAGTGGTTTTAAAAGAATTCGTGCCATATATAAATAGTAGGTTAAGAAATGGGAAAATACATAAGTACCCCCTAACTTATGATCGAAGTTTCAACTATATATTTTTTCTTTTCAGGGGTCTTATTACCCCCTGAACTATTTTAAAATAAAATTATTACCTCCATAAATGCTTATGTGGCAAAGTGCGAGTATTTAAAGAGAAATTAACAAAACTAATACTAAATTTTTATTCTTAATTTGCCTTTTATTAAATATCTACAGTTTTTTGGTTTTTCATTTCTTTTCTGTTTCTATCTCTTTTTTAATTTCTTTACTTCCACCACCCGAGTAGCAACATGGCCGATGCCACCACCGCATCGCAACCAAGGGCGGATACACGCTTACCGAAACGGTGTCACGCGATACCGCTTCGTCGAAATTTTTTATTAAATATATATATTAATACTGTACGGAAATAGATAAGTAGGTAAAAATGACACCACTTGACATAAATTGCATCTTGGTGTGTTGTTATGTGCTTGAATTTGCTCTAAGAGGTCAAAGATTCAAACCTCTACTAGCACATTTCTCTTTTGCAAGAATTTGGGAGTGCCTTTGTGGTTAAAAATTATGATGAAGTAGAATTGAACTCATGACATTTTCTAACTTAAGACTCAACAAAACCAACAGACTAAGGGTATTTCTTGTCTAGAAGTATGATAATCAAAGTTATATTCCAGTTCTTCTATAAATTTCGACACCGCTTCAAAAAAATCCTGCGTACGCCCCTAGCCGCAACCCCCAAATTACTCCGCCACTGAAATCCTAATTTGTACTCTCCACCCTCTTATTTTTCTAAGTACATAGTTGTGTCCCCTAATTTCCCAACTCCCAGCAGCTCTTATCTCTCTTATGGGGTTTGCCGCCGCCCCGACGACTTGGCTGGCCGGCGACCACGACTTTCCCCAATCTCTCATCTATTTCCCTCAGTGTAACTAGCTTTTTAAGAAGATAATTTTTTTAAACAACTCAGTAATTGCAGATTCATTCAAAATGATTTGAGAAGTAAACAAATCTGTGAAGGATTCGGGGTTGTAGAAAATTTTCCTATTATCGTTCAATAAATTTGCAAGAAAAATAACTAGGTTGTGAAGGAAGTCCCTCGCCGAAACGTTTTCGACCATCGAAATCAATTTTTTCCAGCCAAATTTTGTAGAATTTTCATCAGCGGTCCATCATATTAACAGCAGATCCCACCATTTATGAGTATATTCTTCTTGTATAACCACAAACTAAACAATAATTTCAGATTTGATAAATAAATAAAAAAGGACATAAAAATGTGGAAAGAATTTTGTGGGAGTAAGAGGTCACGTTTTGGGAAGAAGGTACGTAATTGGAGGAAGAGAAGGGAAAGAAAAAGAAAGAAAAAAGAATAGAATAGTAAAACAAAAAATAAGGGAAAGAATAAGAAAAGATTAAAAAAATCCTAATGAAATGTGCCTGGCGCGTGGCTTCAACAATTAACATATGATGTGGTTGTGGCCTTTCAAGGGTGTAACAATTCCGTTTTAAAATAGTTTGGGGGGGGGGGGGTAAGGACCCTCGAAAAGGAAAAGTATGTAGTTGAAATTTCGGTCATAGGTTAGGGGGAGAGGACTACTTATGCATTTTCCCTTAAGAAATTATAAAATGATAACTTAATTCGCTAATTTATTTTTGAAAGTTAAAATCGAGTAACAGACATCGAATTTGTGTACTTGTTAACAGCAGCGGAAGATTTTTGTAGAATCTGTTCCAATCAATTTGCCCGAATCCGATTTCGTCTCTCTTGGAAATGAAATTCTTTTTCACGAACTAAATACCTTCTTCTTGCTTTTAGTGTGGTTCTATCTTTGTAGGGAGGATTTCTCAGAGAAACTTTCCCGAAGAAGGGGAGCGTTGATTATATAGAGAAGGGAAGTTGTCAGAGAAAAAAAAAACTACCGTGAAACTAACCCACATTGATCCCCACGCTCCCTTACTTCTCAGCGTGCGGTAGTTTTATTTTAGGAGTTAAACCTTCCCTAGGTAACTTCCCGTAATCATATCTCCTTTAAAAACATGTCGGGTCAGTCTATATGGGCGACCCGCGACTCAAACCCAATTTCTAACATCTCCCACTTCGCACATGATGGGCTAGACCCAAACCAGTGCTATGTGGAAACACACACGTAATTCACACTAGTAAATAGATTATGCGACCTGCGAGCATTAAGAGCTACATTATTCTTACACCCTTTAAGGTTGTTTAATAGCTCTACGTAGAAATCCAATCACACGCAGAAAGGATTCACTACGACCATGAGGATCTTATTATTACTCGCAATACCCCAGACATTGTTGGCTATTCTAGTAGCTAGTTATCCGATCCCTCATCCTCGAAAAGAGGCGAACTTGAGTTCATGTTTAACTTTTTATCCACAGTTACACCCAATACCCTCATGGTAAGTGTAATGGTCGACCTATGAATACGGGTTAAATTACTAAATTTTAGTCGTCTTCCCTTTCTAATCGAATCTTTCCATTCCAAATCAATTACTTTCCTAGACATCCACTGCATTGCCGAATCACTCATGGCTATTAGTGACATGCTAAAGTAGCAACACTGATTGGCACTTCAAGAGACAGTAAAAGGTCAAAAGGTATTCTAATAAAAGTTGATATAACTTCTTTGGGATCTCACACAATGAAGAAGCAGGGATTCATTCTTCCATTATCCCATGGTCAATAGCACACGTGGTATGAAGCACATGTTATGGTGTTCTCATCTTATATTGGCGCGTGTTCTTTATTCTTTTAATCATTCAACACCGTACAGATCTTGGTCTAGACAACTCCAAATGTCTAACCCGAGTTTCTCACTTCAATAATTCTCAAACCATCTTCTTAGATAAACTTCCATTTGGCTTACAAAACAAGTCATAATCGAATAGTGAAATTCGTAAGTCTAATTAGTTGTCAAGACCGACCTCTACAAGTAAATATAACCTCACATTATTCAAGGTTCTATAAGGTCTCATCTCTTCACGATTCTTAACGTAAGAGGCGATTGCTCGTGTGAGAGAGCCAATCTCGCGACTTGTTCGACACACTTTATCAACAAAAAATCCATCACATACATAAGCATAATTCAAGAGTCAAATATTGATGAACATATTATAATACATAAATATGTTCATATCCTTCGCAAACCTAGAGCCATAACATGTTTCTCAAACAGGTCTCTAGATATCGCCTTAGTAAAAGGATCAGCT